ATAATTAAGATTCCTAGCAGACCAATAAAGCAAGGTTCATGCCCAGGCTGAGTGTGGAATTCTGGGAGTTGAAATACACACAACTTAAAGTTGCTGAGATTGAGGAACACTGCATTAATCATTGCACACATCATATGTTCCAGAAGACATCTACTATCATCCTTTCCCACTTTTGTGTATTTGTGTACAAAATTTTAAGACTGTGGCAAATCAACTCATCCTTTTTTGAAACTAATACCATTATAGATATTTTATTTTTAGACATATTACCAAGGTACCAGCTGACCTGAAACTACCCTGAAAACAATTGTTCTAATGAGTAGACAATATATATTTTCTAAAAAGAAATGAAACAAGTTTTTTTCTTCAATTATACTATTGTTTTAATTACTATGTTTAATTATTATGTTGGGAGTTAGAAATACATCACTGTGACATCTCAGCCAATTCATTCTATACTATTTGATAGCAATTAGTGCTGAACAGCTTAGTTCCCATAAGAAAGGAAATACTTGCATTGAGAAGAATTTCTATGGATTTTCTTTCGATTATAAACATTCTGAATTATTTAAGATGCAAACAAAATCTTTTGGAAAATTGGAGAAGTGGGCAAAAGAAGTAGCATAAGTTCCATTGCACAAGTCAAGGCAGAAAAATTAATGTTCTAATGTTGCAAGTCTTTCCTTCTGACAAATATATACTTCCCTACCCTACCGTAAATGAGTATAACATGCTTTGTAATTTATTTTAGGATTTAATATTTTCAATCTATAGTAAAAAGGAGTCACATAAGAATTAATTGTTGATGTTCAGAACCCTCATATTTACTAGTATTATCAGGTATCAACCAAATATAGATTATTATCATCATTAGAAGCAGGAATTGGCACTTCTAATTGTTTCATATAATGTTAGTAACCTGAACCTAAATCTCAGCATTGCACTTCAATTTAAAAAAAAAAAAGAATATGTTTGGACTACTGCTGGAGATTGGGCCAATGTAGTTTTCCAGGCAATCAGTATTTCATATGACAATTATGATACCTAAATATTTTCTCTCTGCATCAAGTATATATAGTCTTGAGAGAAATTTCTTCTGCCACAATGAAAGGTGTCCTTCAAAACTGCCTCCAGGGTGATATGTTCCTTCACTACTCCTAAGTGAGAAATTTGCTTAAGGCTGGCTTCTGCCTGTAGGGCAATCCACTGCCATTCTTCCTTGGGTAAACAAGAACAAACAATACCTGAAATCACTCATAATATAAAATGAAACATACTACTGTCCAAAAGATATGAGGCTTGCATTCAAATTTTTAATTTTTTTCTTACTAACGTGAAAAAGTGCTAGTTTGACTTGCCTATAGCAACAGCAATAGCACTTAGACTTATATACCACTTCATGGTGCTTTACAGCCCTGTCTAAGCGATTTAGAGTCAGCATATTTGCCCCATCAATCTGGGTCTTCCTTTTACTGACCTCAGAAGGATGGAAGGCTGAGCCAACCTTGAGCCAGTGAGAATCAAACTCCTGACAGTTGAACAGAGTTAGCCTGCAATACTGCATCCTGACCATTTCACCACCATGGCTCTTCACTATACTAAGTCCCTCCTTTTAAAAGGCTCACACTCAATTCTGCAATTTCAAGTTTCAGGCCATCAGGAGAAATGGGGTGGGGGGCTTCCCCTGACACAGCAGACACAATGGGTCTTACCATTGCTATGGCCATGAGAATGGGATTCCTTATTGTTCTCCTGAGAGGATTTCTCGGTTACATCTTTTGTTGATCTGTTGCAGCCCTCTGGCTAAGCAGGTGGAGTAACACTATGGTATATTGTGTTTGGATATGATAGAACTGAGTAAGTTCACATGATATTGATGATATAACAAGATTCCCTTTCCTTACTGGGAACTTTCTGGCAGACAATTCTGTAGTGACATTTAGGACAGGAATCAATACATAATTTATTGTCTGTTTCCTTGCTTGCTTGTTTACAGGAACATATATGCCATTCCAATCCTCAAGAAATTCTGAGCAGTTTTCTTGGTGATGCAATGGCTAGGTGGAAGGACCAGAAATTCCCAGAAAAGCTGAAGCCAGGAAGCCATGCCCTGGTTTGCCTTTACCTGTAAGTCTAAAATCCTGACAATCCTGGATTTTTGCCTATCAGGTAAACTGGGAATGGGCTAATAATTTACGAGACTGGATGTCCAAAACTGATGGATGATCTGAACTCTTTCTGCTCTTACAATTCTATATAATCAATAAACTTGGAATGCTTTTCCAAAAATCAAATCATAGTGTCATACATCCTTATACTAAATTTGCCCCTCCCCTGTGCCTCTGGCATTAGAGTTGGCATTGTTGTCACTCACTCCCATTTATCATTCCCAGTCAGTATTGTTATATAGAACTTAATAGCTTGGTTGGAGCATCACATCTATATTATATATACCTTATTTAATATTTCAAATTGTTAACATTTTAAAAATAATTCAGTGTTGTGTCACGTCCACATACGTCATTTGATATATATTTATGCCATTTTATGTTTCTTCTTAGAGTCAGACTTGCCATTATCAACTTTGTTAAATTACCAATGATCACTAGGAGTACCGCTTCAAAGGAATAAAAATTATATATTCAAGGCAACATCATTCAGCTTATTTCCCTAGCAACACTTTTCAGTAATAACAAAACTATCATAGAATGGTAAGTGCTACCACTTAACCTTAACTATCATACTTCCTATGAAGCAAAATATTTTAAGATACAGTTATTTCCTCAACCCAATTAATATCTACATAGAAGTTGCAAAGTTCAGCAATGTTAAGTCAGGTTAATAAAGCTATATTGAAGTCCTTGGTTTATTTATTCAAAACTTTCTCAGGTACCTATCATTCTTACAGCATAGTCTAGCCCTCTGTGATTTCATTAGTGATGGATCTTTTGAAGTTTTAATCAATATATCTCTGAATATGCATGTGAATTCCACTCAGATTTTATAAGAGAACTCACCATAGCACCACCAGGGGCCATTTTGTTCTTATAATATAATTTTTCCATTTCCCTCTGAAGCTAGAAACACGATTCTAACTTCAGAATGAAGATGTAATTGTGGATTGCCTCTTTATCATCACTATACTATGCATTTGCCTCTACATCAGAAGAAATGAAGTGGGTATTGATGAGAGACATGACATGAGCATATTCTTTAAGGTATACTTCTTGATATCTACATAGATATTAGAAAAAAGGAGACTGTGAGTTCTAGTTCTGCCTTAGATATGAAAGCCAGCTGTATGGCTTTGGGCCAGTCAATCTCTTTCAGTCCAACCCACTTCACAGAATTGTTGTTGTGGGGAAAAAATAGGAGGAGGAAAGTGTATTAGGTATGCTCACTGCCTTGATACACACACACACACACACACACACACACACACACACACAAGCAGTGGGATGGCCTAGAGGTGGACCTCTCGCCTCAAAATCAGGAGGCTGTGACCCAAAGGTGCTTTTTCCAAAGACAACTGGACTTTATTTTTCCTTGAAGACATTTTGCTTCTCATTAAAGAAGCTTCTTCAGTTCAGAATGATATGGGAAACATCTTCAAGGAAAAACAAAGTCCAGTTGCATTTTGAAAAACCATCTTTGGGACAACCATGACCTGGATGACTGAAAATCTCTATGGACAAGAGGCTGTGAATTCGATCCTAGGTAGCTGTAGATATTTCTCTCTTTGGACACAATGAGTAATTGTCTGCTACGAACTCCACGTAGGTGTCAGGAAGGGCATTGGCCAGTAAATTTTCAATTCTGTCCAGTCGCCTCAATTCCACACCGATGCAAAAAAGAACCACTACAACTTTAATCAAAACAATTATTACAGATTTCAGACATAAGATGAAAGTCTCCCTTTATTGTTATCTTGTATTTTTAACTAGTAAGTGTGGGTCTGTGTGTATAAAACCTATTATTAAAAGTAAAAAAATAAACAGTTCAAATTTAACAATAATTACCCAAAACAGAAAAAAGGGAAACAAAAATAATAATTAAAAAAACTATTGCCAATTTTTTTCTTGGTGGGATGTGGAATCTTTTGGTTGACACACAACTCTATGCAGCATTTTTGTGGATTTGTAGACCACAGTCATGCCTAATGTTCAGAGTAATCTGGTGGCATTTTCTGATACATTTCTTATGTACTGAAATGTTTTTGCGGCAATGTTTGGGCTGTACGGGGGGGGGAGTTGAGTTGTTCATTGCTTCTTTCTTTTGTTTCCTAATGTGCCTTTTTAAATGAAACTGCATAGGGGGGATCACTTCTCCTTGAAAATGCTACAGAGATATTTGAATTCAGCAGGAGAACTTGCCTATAGTTGAAATGACTCAGCCCATGCAAAATATTCCACACTATCTAGTAGAACCTGGACGCAATCCTCCAAACTCAGACTTTCTCCAAGAAAAAATTATTACCAGACTAATAATTATCACCAAAGCACTAACACAACTTTATCTACAGCACTCATGATCACCATTTGGTGCAGATTTTCATCCTGAACCCTGAAAACTTCAAAGAAAGCTGGGTGGCCTGGAAGCAGGATTTAATTTCCTGTGCCCCTAATTTTTGAAAACTATAGCAGGCCTACACAACATACAGCCTGAGGGCTACATTCAGCATACCAAGCACCCCTATGCAGTCCACTGACGTTTTTTTAAAAAGTAGTATATTTACAGCTTCTGCTGCTGTTGCTGCCTTAAAAGACATGCTGCTGAGCACCTCCAAGTCTCCCTGCTGTGTTACCTAAAATAGGTAAGCCAAGTATTTCTTTGCTACCCTTTATGGATTTATAATGCATCAATGTGTGGCCCTTTCTCCTGGACAAATTGTGAGGGCCACTTAACAGAATAACTGGGGGAGACATCTCCATTATACCCAAACATGTATTCAATCCAAACTTGTGTTCATTCTATAAAGTATTTCTATTTTTAATGCTCACCAAGGATATTTTAATTCTTTTTGTATTCCTGTAAACCACCAAGAATTCTGTGGGATTGGAATGTGGAAGAAATATAATAAATAAATAAATAAATACATACATAAAAACAAATTGCAACAATCAGTAGTCTTATACTGTCTTATGCAAATCAGATAAATTACATAATTGTGTTAAAGTCTGGAAAGAGATTTTTGGCATTTCATATTAATCTTCTAAATGGGGGGGGGAGGATCAGTTAAGTCAAAAATTTATTTTATACACATACAAACATTTCCATAAAAAGTATACCACATTCAGTTGTACCCGTTCATTTATTCCTATATTTCCTTGAGTCATTTATAAGATCCCAACACAGGGCGTTGTTTTTTTTGTTGTTGTTGTTCTAGCTGCAGTTCAAATTGGCTGCTCCTGTAATATAAATATTGCATCAATATTTGATATTTCATAATAATTATATTAAAATAAATTAATACAATTAACAACTCTACACCTAGAGCCAAATTAAACACTTTAAAGTATTTGAATCATGGTACTTTATGCTTAGGAAAATTATGTGAGTACAACAAAATTAACTTGTATTTGCATGGCTAGACAATTTAATAACCAGAACAAAGGATAAATTATTAACTATGGCTGGAATGTGTAATTTTTCTAGCAACAGATGTGCCTGTCATTTAACAAAAGCATCTGCTGTCCATCTCAAACTAGCAAGCTTTATGTTGATAGTGTTTCAGCTAGGATGCAGTTGTGAAGCACACAATAAGGTATTTCTCTCTCTCTCTCTCTCTCTCTCTCTCTCTCTCTCTCTCTCTCTCTCTCCTTCCACTTCATTCTTGCAGCAATTTCATGAAGGACATTTGCTCATATATACAATTTTACGCTGCCAAAATGCAGTGGATGAGTATGTATTTTTGACATTTAACAACTCTAATTGTCCTTCCTGTCAAAAGCAATCTATAGTTCTCTAGCATGTGTCAAGAAAGTGTGACATAAAACTATGCTTTTTTTAATAAAGGCAAAGCATGCAGAATGAAATTCCTGCTTTTAAACCATGTCTGTTTAAATAGATATGGATGGGTAGAGGGATAGGCAGACAGCAGGATGTTACCAGGGTTTCTATGGAGCTCTCTCATCAGAAGTTCCACTAGACAAAATTGAAGTGGGGAAAAACAATAGTTGTTAATTTCATCTTCATCTGCAATCCATGAGATTCTCTGAAAAGTGTCCTGGAGGACTGCAGAAACTATAAGGGATGGTCTAAATAAGGGCAAATCCTTCAACTGCATAGGGTTGCTCCAAAAGTTGCCCCTAATTCTTCCTTTAGCTAAGGAAATGACAATGAACACTCATCCCCGTCCTCAGTCTTTCCAAAAGACTGGCATAGCATGGTCTTTCGGCATAACATGGCATAGCATTCATATTTGCATGGTTTGACTTGCAAAGGCATTTCTGAAACAACAACAACAACAAAATATCTACAGGGCCTCCTCCTTCATCGCATCTCTCCATAACAATAAATATGATACCTCTTAACCGTAAATTACAAGATTAAACAAATTACTGTCTAAATTACAACCAGCAGAATGAAATTTGAAGAAAAAGAAAATTTGCAGTTGTAGACCGAAGCCTTAGAAATTAAATCACGCAGGCATTGTTGTTTGAACAAGAAAATAATTGTACAATGTTAGCAATTTGTATTCTAGCAGAAGAAATATGAAACAGATGTAACAAACCCCCCCCCCTCAAAAATGAAATATCCATTCCAAATAATAAAGTGCTTCTGTATTTAAAACAAGTTGACATTAATCAGGATAACTGCAGTTCATTTCATGCAATATACAGCAGATGTTTTTCACGGTATTGATTACAATACAGTAATCCAAAATTGAATGAAAAAGATGGGTAGTGATGGAAAAGCTTGTTACAAAAAAACTGAAGGCTCCTAATGAAGCCGGTTTACCTATGACGCAGGGGACTGATGTCAATCAACTAGATTTTAGATCGCTGTTCAATAACCATGCAGTGCCACAGAATGTATCAGACTAAAAAAGTTAATCTCTGCACAACAAATCACTTAGTAAACATATCCAGAGCATATTTCAACAGATCAAAGCTAAAGATCTAAAGTTCTAAACTGTTGTACCTCCAGTATGAATTTTCACCTGCCAGTTGCCCCTACCTATTGGAAACAGCAGGAGGTAGACAGGAACACACATGGTGGGAGAGTCAGAAAAAGGAGACAGAACTTTCCAGGTGTATGTAGGCCAGGGCTCTGAGAGGAGGGGGTTGGGTGGGAAAACACTACGGAAGTCCAGCATTCTGAGCCTTCAGAACAATGGCAATCACTAGCATCTTCACCAGATCTGAGATCTGTTCCTCCAGAGTGACGAGGGATTTCCAGAAATCTTTCTTCCTAGTGTAGAAAGGTTTTCTGGTGTTATTTATTCTCACACTTTTACTACATTTAGATTTTAACTTTTTATCCCCCCAAAAGTGCTAGGGTAGCTTAAAAACATAAAGTACAACTTAATTACAAAAATGAAAAGTGTACAGGCAGACCTTGTTTAATGACTGTCCTGTTTAGCAACTATTTGAAGTCCTAATGGTGTTGAACAAGTGTTTTTACAACCAGTCCTTATATTTACAACTGTCGCAGTGTCCTTATTCAACATTTGAGCCCTTTGCAACCAACAGGCATTTATGACTGCCACAGCGTCCCATGATCACCATTTGAATGCTTCACAACCAGCTTCCAACAAATAGAGTCAATGGAGAAGCCAAAGCTAAAATTTCAAGTCACAATAATATGCTGTCTACCTTAATGGTCCAGAGCAGGCATGTCAAACTCACAATGACACATGATGTCACGCAACGTATCAGGACTTTTTCCCCATTGCCAGCAATGGGGTGGGCGCAGCTTCGGCGTGACGCATCCAGGCTGTGGGCCAGCAGTTTGACACCCCTAGTCTAGAGTGATTCACATAACAATCAAATGGGAAATAACATCCTAAGTCTGTTGCAGTCGTGCGATGTTTTGCTTAGCAATCCACCTTACTAAGTGAGTCAGTCTTAGTTGTGGTCACTAAGCGAGGCTTACCTGTAGCTCAAATTATATAAAAATCATATTAAAAAGTATAAAAACCTCATATTAAAATCACTCAAACTGTTTAAATTGAAGACAATATATTGGCATCCTTTCTAAAAGCAGGAGTGTTGACCCATTAGAATTATGAAACAAGCGCACTTTAAACAATAAAGGAAAAGGCCCCTCCCAAGTTCCTTCTGAAGATATTAAAAAGCAGACAGACTCATAACAAGAAATGTGCCCCTCGAGTATCAAACTCTAAGTTCCATTGGACTTTAATAAAATTAAATTAATACTTTAAATTGTAACCCCCAAACAATCAACAATTGATGCAGAGTTGGTCATTATCACAAACCAGTTAGCAATATAGCTGCTATACTTGGAACATATGAAATTTTAAGATGGTGAGCAGCACCAAATATCCAGACATTACAGTAGTCATATCATGATGCAATTCCAGCATGAATAATTGCTGTTAGGTCTGATCCACACAAGAATAATCATATTGTACCTGATACATTAAAGGTATTTCTTCAATAAATCTTTACAACCTGGAGATCCAGGGACTGTACAAAATGAACTATCATGATCAGATCCTTTGTAAAACAACTTTTTTCATTTCTGTCTAAAACATCTGTATTAAATCAAGGATCAGGCATTTGGGAAAAGGAAAAGCCTTTAATAAGCTAATGATAGTACTTAATTATACAGAACAATTAAACAATTTATCCATTACTGTTATACACAAAACCAAGAACATAATAGTGATTTAACAATAGTGATTTGTTATTCCTTTCTAAAAATAAACTCTATATAATTAAATGGATCAATCATTCAATCATGTATTAGTCAATTCCAGTTTAAGATACTTAAAGGATGCACATGTACAAAAACAATATAGATGGCTAGTACAGTATCACATATTTTATTTTTCTTGCAGTATCATACACTGAACATAAAATTTATATGTATGTATGTATGTATGTATGTATGTATGTATGTATGTCTTTGGTTATTCGGGTTTTCTCCCACATAAAATTGGAAGTGACTTGGCAACATTTCGACGAAGTCTCATTCGTCATCTTCAGGTTGGTGCTTTCGGCTTCGTGCTCCTAGAAGCACGAAGCCGAAAGCACCAGCCTGAAGATGACGAATGAGACTTCGTCGAAACGTCGCCAAGACACTTCCAATTTTACGTGGGAGAAAACCTGAATAACCAAAGACCTACATACAAACACCCGCGAAAACCTCAGAAAACACACACACACACACACACATATATATATATATACACACACACATACATACATACATACACACACACACAAACACACACACATATTCCAAGATAGCCATTTAAGATGGGTTAATAAGGCGAAGGTAGGGCTCTCGTGGAACCAGCCAGCCCCACAACTGCATGGACCTTTGTGCCTCCCTCACAAGGCCACAAAGCGAAGTTTTACAGAAGGTCAGGAGAGTGGGGCCGCTTCACCTCTGGAGAAAAGATGTTCCATAATACGGAGGAAGTGGCAGAGAAAGCTCCCTTCCTAGACTCCCACCAGATGAAATTCTTTGAATGATGGGTCTGTAGCATACTTCCCCTCCCTGATAAAGTGAGAAGGGGTGATGTGATTGTACAAAGCCAGTTCTGCAGGTAGAGGTGGCCCATGCCATAGAGAGCTTTATAAGTGATGACCAACACCTTGAATTGGATCTGGAAGCAAACTGGCACCCAGGGCAGTTCACGGAAAAAGGCTGTTATATTTGCTCTTCTTTGGGCACCCAGACTGGCTCATGCAGCCGCACTCTGCACTAGCTGAAACCTCTGGATACTTTTCAAGGATAGCTGCATGTAGAACGCATTGCAATGAGCAAGGCATAAGTAATCAAGCAGAGAGCTTCCCTGTCAAGGAGAGACTCTCCTGGCCACGGCTGCCACCTGCTCTTCGAGTTCTGACACTGAACAAGTGATGGTTACAATGTTACAGTATTCTGACCATCCCAGCAATCCTGAAATCACATGATTGCAGTTTAGACATTTGGCCAACAGGCTTGCTCTTACAAAGTGTGCAGTGTCTGATTGTCCTATGATCGCAATTTGAGACCTCCCCTGCTGGCCCTCCCACAAGCCACATCAATAGGAGAGCCAACAGGGAAGATGACAAGGGGCTTGAGTAAATCTCCCATGCACTCTCCCCAAGTCTTGTTGTGCTTGTGCTGTGCCAACCATTTGCACATTGTTGTGCACCCTCTCCCACCCAGCAGCAGTTTTCCCAAGTCCCATTGTGCTTGTACCCCTTTCCCACCAGTTGTGCATTCTCACA